GGCATCAAGTGCGGTACAATAAATGTGAGCCCATAAATATAATGGCCATATAAGACTGATTAGATATGACATTTTTGTTGATATTTAAAAATGATAAGTCACAAACTGTCTACATGGTCAGCTAACGACAAATCGATGGAAATTCAATAAATTAACGGAGCATTCAAATTGAAATTTAATGCACATAATTGCCTCTATCGACTGATAAGATAAACACACAGAAAAACTACCTTTAAAATGCTTGGAGAAAAAAACGAAAAGAAAAGAATGTAAATTCATTGGAACCTATATTGATAAAGTGTAAACCAATACCGTGGATGTATTGAGATTACCGTGTACTGTACATTTACAATTGCAAAGCCTCCTCTTTTGTTTCTACATTCTTTCGGAGAGCGAAAAAAAAGTATTGACTCAGTTGTAAATCTGCTACTGAACGAGCGATTTCGTAGATTCAAGTACGAATTCGAGTGCAATATTCCACGGGTATAATTATTATTTCTTAAAAAAAAACAAAGAAGTTTAATGCAAGCGCAGGGATGGTTTAGAGTTTCACCGAAAAATTTGATATATCAAGTTTTATCGTCAAAATTTGAAAGCATTTCTAAATATACACATTACGATAGTAATTTCTTCCACGTTCAATCAAGATATCAAACTACAAAATATTTTAATTGACTGATTCGACGGGTGGAAGCAATTCCGTATTTCTGTACTGAAACTATAGAAATGTATGTTCATCATTCTGGCCCTCTACAACTGTTTTTGAGAACTAACATCGGCTTTTTTTTTAGTAATACGTTCTTTCATTTGTTTGGCTATAATTTCTATTATATTCGATTTGGTGACCGCTATGCGATTTTTACGTTTAAATAAGTTATTTAAAATAAATCTGAATACATTTGAAATTTGCTGCCCCTTTTATAACTCATTGATTTCAGTCCTGAAAATCAGTTAATTTTCACTAGTTGCTATCTTGTTTTGTAAACAATGTGTACAACATGAACTGTCAATGGCTGTCAAGTGTCGTGTATTGAATATGACAGAATGCTTCAAAATTAAGTCGATAGAAGGCCAGAAGTTCGAACTGTCGCTTCCACCCGTCGGACTGATTGAACAAGTGATTGTAATCGCGTTGTAAGCGGATTTACAGCCAATTTTCTCAGTTAAATGGTGTGAAATTTTTTTTCTTCTTCTGAATAATGTAATAAATACGTCATTAAATTTTTACACGCTTATCTGCTGCATGCATTCGTCGGAGTTGTGGTTTTGGTCTAAGTAAAGAAACCGCTAGCGGATTTTGTGGTTGCGTGATCGATGTAATCTACTATGCGAACGCTGATAAGTTTCTTAATCAAACCATATCGGGCGCTATACAACCTGATATATACAGTAGACTCAAACAAATGATGTTGTTAATAAAAATGATATACCATTCGAAATTGAAAGCTAATACATTTCTCTCATCGTTGCAGCTAGCACCGGTGTGCAGTACAAGTTCCTGTCAACAAAGTGAAAATATAAGAGGCAGCCAAAATGGAAATGTCATTTTACTGGACAACGGAATTGAAGGAGTTCTTTTTAAAATGTTTAAAAATCAATTCGGTCACTTCATTTGTGACTGCATGTATAGCATGTGGACTGCTCTCCATTGCTTATGAGGGAATCAAAGTAAGTGGAATGCATTTGACTTCGTTAAGAATTAAGGAATTAATTTTGTTTGATTTTTCTTTTCAATTTAAGGTCTATACGGCTTATGCCCGCGCTAAAAATACTCGTGAACTAATTGGAGCCGTTTCATGCGCACCAAGCGAATCAGCCAATTTGTTAGTTACCGACAACAGTTCAAATACCTTCTCCAAAAGATTCTGTCGACTAATCAACGAGACAATCGTATTTTTATTTCACAATACCCTTGGCTATATTGTGATGTTGAGTACAATGTATTATAACGGCTGGCTGTTTTTGGCCGTTGTTCTTAGCATGGGAGTGGGCTACTTTTTCTTTGGCCATATT